CTGCGATGCAAACAGATAAGACAGGAGGAGATGAAGTAAGGCCTCTTTAGATTGGATATAGTAAGGCTACTTTCATGGAAGTAAGCATTGGTATTTTGCAAGAAACAGTGACAAAATGTTTGTTTTCCCTGACCCCATCTCAACAGAAGCCAGAGGTATGTCAGTTGTATTTGACTTGGTGATGCGCTGATGTGTAGGAGCCCAAGGTTTTTTGTTTGAGGGTTTTATGGCTGTTCAACTTTCTGTTGTCATTTTGCTTTTGAATTCATTTGCTTTGTTTTGTGTTAAAAGTGTTGTGGAGGGGAAGTGCAAAGTGCAGCATCAAATTATTGATGTTAATAACTTTTATGCTCATTACACTGTCAAGAAATTTCTATGCTTCAATGTATTGTTTCAATTTAATGGCCTGAGATGTTAAAAAACAAAGCAGTTTTGTCAGGTTTTTGATATTACGTCCATGGCAACTTGAATAGATGTCTTGGCTTGCTGAAGCACCCAGTCACGAGCTCGTAAGTTCAATCTTCCGTGAATTGATTTTCCACTCCCGTACGGTCTTTTTGCAATGCAGTTTTGTACTCCCACCCTAGTTCAAAAGCGACTCTAGCATCCTGGTTAACGCTCTCGTTCAGGTAAAGTACGTAGCTGTCGCATACCGGACTGTTAATTGTTTTCAAAGTTCGGACGGAGCGGACAGTTTACAAGAGAAGCAACTACTAAATTATAAGGATACCGCAGCAGCAACAGTTGCCTGCTGATTGATTTTGACACTGATTTCCTATAGAGAATTGCGTTCTGATCTGTGATACAGTTCATCAAAACCTATCGGCCTAGCCATCGATGTCTCGTGCAAGCGTTATCATAATGCCGTGTGCCTAACATTAGGATATGGAAGCTTGCATGCTTGATTTTTAAAATACTTTTTCTTGTCAGGATCTGCACACATTTGCAACAGTTGCGGTGACTCACAAACCTTTTGAGTTGCGCGTTTTGCGTTAACTTATTCACAGGTGACCACGGGTAGTAACTGGAACTGTTGAATTATCATAATATATTGGAACTATTGGCGTAGAATCTTGGCGTACCCAAGTATCTCCCGGTGTACTGAAGTACCTGTGTATTTGGCACATATTTCATAATTGTGAGAAAAAATCGTGCATGCGTGCGTGCGTGCGTGCGTGCGTGCGTGCGTGCGTGCGTACGTGCGTGCATGCGTGCGCGCGCGCGCGTGTGTGTGCGTAACAGTACTGTTGGAAACATTAACGGTTGCCACACGTGTAAGCGTTGCCTTTTTCTTTTAACGAGTGATGGGTATTTGGGTTTGCCCTCGTGCGATGAACAGAGGCAGTGTCACCGACTTCCCTTGTAGGGCGGGCATATCTAAAAAACTGAAATTGTCATCAGATTTCCCCCACTTTACAAACTAACTTCCTAGATATATGAAACTAAGCACAACTACCTCTCAGCCTGGCAGGATCTCATGACTTGTTAATAAGTGCCTCCTCTTGGACTGATGGGGCTTTTAGTAGCAGAAACGCCGCCGTAGCTCAATCAGTTAGTGCGTGCTGCCCAGCCCCATGTGACGGTGTGGTAGGTTTGAGTCCCCCCGTTATTCACCCTCAGCGGTCCACATTCGCTATTTGCCCCATTTCCTTTTAGAGTCTCAGCTGGGGGAGTAGAAGGTTCTTCCGAAGTCCCCTGAGCGTGGGCAATCCGAGTGTGGGTATTCCACGTATAGATCTTCCGGGCCCTTGCCCGGAACATAGTTCATAGTTAGCCCTTGAACATAGTTTCTCTGACCCTCATCTTTCCCAGCTCGGGAGACAAGCTCACCGTTGCTGCTTCGTTAGCGGCGAAACTGCTTTGTTGCTTTATGAGTTACCGGCTCGGGGAGTGAATGGGCAGCCGTAGAGAACAACAGCCATGTTTTGACAACTTAAATGTATTTTTATGCGTTTGGCCCCCCATGCAGGGTTACTAGTTCACGACTTAACCGGTGTCACGTTTACGCGCTGAAACTAGACTTTAACACAGTTTAACAGTTACACACTCCCCTATTCTGGATTTTTCTTGTCGACATTGATTTACATGAACATAAATGCACGGTCCAGTTCAATGGTGACTCACGTGTCACATGCCTCGGTGCCCGCTTTAAAAGGACCGGGTCTGAAAGCCCCCCCCCCCCCCTCCCCGTCTGGTTGTTCAGGAAGCTCCCTGGAAGAGCCTTTCCTCAACTGATATCTCCTAGCACCGCCCCTGCCAGACCCAATCAATTGATGTGGGGAATCCACATCAATGGAAAATCACCACATCTCCGCCGATCTCTTGATGCACCAGTTAATTGTTCTAAATTATATCATGTGCAGTATCTTGACCACAAATGGTTGTTCGTTGAACCATATCCTATGATTTATAATGTAGCGTGCTTTGTAATATGCTGCACCTTTGACCTCAGATCTCAGTGATAACTGATCAGAAACGGGCTATTAACCCGATAGGAAGCATACATTATTGATACCCATACTTTCCCCTTTCTTGCAAGGTTTACTCCTTTGGACGCTGTTGTGGCGAATTAATTGTGGTGAAAACGTGACAGCGATCACTTAGAATAAACAACAGTTGCAACAAGAGGTTCTAGTTGTATATAGCTATGACGATACAGCGAACACGTCCCCGGTCAGACACAGAACAAGTTCCACGCCGGCTAAGGGCAACGTTGCGACGCTTTCACAGCAGCTCCGCGCGTGTCCAACGCCCCACTTCACGGTATTCGTCTCGTATTCAACGATCACTTGCAAGTCGAGCGCGGCCTCGCCGACTCACAGCATCCGACGCCATCTCTACACCGGCGTGAGAAATGAATACGTTGCTATGCGGCCCACCGACCGCATGCTTGTAGTGTTCGCACTGGCGTCGACTGTATGCGCGCGGCCGACGCTGGACGGACCAACGTTGCCTACCGATAAGGGCGATTATTCACACCCTGGCGGCCGCTCCAAGAACTACTTTGAAAGCTCTGGTTCTTGGACATTCTGTACCTTGGGCAATACGTACGTTGGACATTCTGTACCTTTGGACATTCTGTACCTTGGACAACATGAACGCCTCCCTTTTCACCTCTTCCCCGTAGGGTGCCGGAAGTATAGTGGTTAACGCGTCTGCGTTAACGCGTCTGTGTTAACCACTGGGCGCCTGGGAAACCAGAGGTGCGGGGTTCGATTCCCCGCGGTGCCCGCCCTTCCTGCCAGGTTGAGAGGCAGGCGCCGCCACATAGCCTCGGCAGCTGAGTGCGTTGTAAAGCCCCAATGACACACACACACACACACACACACACACCTCTTCCCCGTCGGACAAAAAGGATGGAGAAGTAGGTAACGAAATGGTATGACAATAGTTTGTTGGATACGCGTCTGCCTGGCAAGCTGTACTGCAGGTGGTATGCATACGTACTTACCAAATATTAGCAAAACGGATTAAAAATCTGAGATCTCATTAAATCGTGGTAAGCGTACTGACTGAGGAGCTGGGAAGGTTTGTCGCTTGCAGATGACGAGGCCTTTCTGTGGATGACTGGAGCACATACGCCAAAAAAAAAAAACGCGAAAAACATGAAATTTACCACCTAACCACGCACACGGTGATTATCTTCTCCAAAATTGCGCTGAATTCCGCAGAATTCGCAAAGCTTAAGAAACAGGAATATTATGAATGTGTTATACGTACCCAAAAGTGGGAAACACAGCCAATAACATTGCAATGGCAAAAAGGCTAATGATGAGTCAAACATATGCAATTCTGATTCCAGCATCGATACTGTTCATTACAGTCATGTGTTAAAATTCACGAAGTTTGGCTATTGGATCGGTTTGAACATGGCATGTGGAATGGAACTCATGCTATATTCCGAATCGGAGTGCATTCAGAGTGCTCTGTGTTGGTATTGGTGTCACTCGATTGAACCGAGCACATCTCTGTCTCCGGATGCCGACTTATGCGATGAGTCTTGCTCTGCACGCGCCTTTGTCCAATACACACTTGCTCATAAACTTCTGCCGTACAAGGTCTCACGCGAGAGGAAACTTCGACCGTGACCACTTTTGTCTCAAACGAATTTCTGCTATGCATCATTTTCCCGATAAAGGTTGTTCTCCTTTACGAACCCTGGGCGACCATGTGTCCGTCAAAGCACTGCCCATACTAACCACTCCCCGACTAGCTCCTGTCTGGAATCCGGCAGAGCCAAGGAGTGAACCCGGTCCTGACCCGGAGATGGTAGTCCAAAGGGTGGACCCGGTCCTGACTCGGAGATAGTAGTCCAAAGGGTGGACCCGGTCCTGACTCGGAGATGGTAGTCCAAAGAGTGGACCCGGTCCTGACTCGGAGATGGTAGTCTAAAGGGTGGACCCGGTCCTGACCCGGAGATGGTAGTCCAAAGAGTGGACCCGGTCCTGACGCGGAGATGGTAGTCCAAGGGTGGACCCGGTCCTGGCCCGGATATGGTAGTCCAAAGGATGTACCCGGTCCTGACCTGGAAATGGCAGTCCAAGGATGAATCCGATCCTGACCTGGAGATGGTAGTCCATGGGGTGGACCCGGTCCTGACTCGGAGATGGTAGTCCATGGGGTGGACCCGGTCCTGACCCGGAGATGGTAGTCCATGGGGTGGACCCGGCCCTGACTCGGAAATGGTAGTCCATGGGGTGGGCCCGGTCCTGACCCGGGACGAGAACCACTGAAGCTCTAGAGGTTGTATGAACTTTCATTGGACCATCCATCTCCGTAAACTACCGGGTGCTAACGTAATTGATATCGTGATATCAACCAGTGGGATCATCGCGCGATTTACCGAAAATTAAGCGTAAAATGGCATAAGTAAGCGCGCGACATTCTGCTGTCTGCAGAATGTTGCTCGAGTTGAAGAACTTACCGTTTCTGTTAGCCCCGGTTTTTCGGGTCTTTGTCTTTTCCCCACTTCCTCGCAATACACTTCAAAGACGAAGACGCCCATACGATACCATGTATTGGTTCTGATCGTGGCTGCCCAGACAGTCGCAATAGACAGTCACAGGCTAGTTATTCCGCCTCGTCACAATCCATATCTGTCCCGCCAGTTTAGACCATTCGTCAAAGTCCCGACATGTCTCGTAAATGTACAGGCCTGTCTTGTCACAGTCCAGATCTGTGCGGGCTTAGTCCAGGTCCGTCTCGCGACGGCCCAGGCCTGCTCGTCGCGGTGCACTTCTACCCCACACCGTCACAGACGCCACAATCTAGATCTGTCCCGTCACAGTTCAGGTGCCCTGTCAGTCCATAGCTGTCGTGTCAGTCTAGACCCGCTCGTCACAGTCCAGGTCTGTCAGTTACATCCCAGATCTGTCTCGTCACAGTCTGCATTTGTCTGGCACAGTCAAGACCTGTCCGTCACAGCCCAGATGTGTCCATCATAGTGTAGACCTGTCCCGTCACAGTGCAGATCCGTATCGTGACGGTGCAGAACTGTCCCGTCACAGTCCAGATCCGCAGTCACCGTGCAGACTTGTCTCGTCACAGCCGAGATGTGTTAAACCACAGTCCAAACCTGTCCCGTCCCAATCCAAACCTGTCCCACCACAGTGCAGACCTGCCGCACCCGACGGCGGCGGCGGCGATGCTCATCGACGCCACGGTCACGCGTGGTGAGCCCCTCGACAGCAGGGTTGTGCGAACACGGCGCGGCAAGAACCCAAGACTAGACAACCTGGCATGGAAGCACTGGAACACGACACATGATACACGCTGCGGTTTCAATCGAGCACAAATTAGATGCAATAATATCTAACGGGGAATACGTAACGAACAGATAATAATGCTCCGCTTTATGAAACAGGTCTTATCAACAAACAAAAGATCTCAATGAAGGCTTTTCGAACTTCCTACAACTTTGAAACAAAAACTGAGTAGCTGTTCGAAAGCCTGACAGACTGAAACACAAACAACACCAACAAAGTAGGCACACCCCATAAATAATCAACCGAAAATCTTGGGTCAAGTGTTAAAGCAACCTATCGCTAATTCCGCCCTTTTGTTGCGATCTCCCATGATAACTGTCAGAGCCCGCTGGTAGGCTCACGAACAAGGGCATTACCAAATAGTTGCATACGATTTAGTGCGCAAAAATAGTCTCTCGAAGCACAAAAACGATCCTAACGGGCAGCGCGACCCGCGCCGCTGCCGCACGCGCAGCTCAGTTGATGAGGCGGCTCCACCATGTCCGCTCGGCCGCGTGCGAGCAGGGCGCGGGTTCACTCGCGTTCGAAGCCCAGCTGGTGGGGTCGCCCGACCAGGCCCACACGGCCGCGTGCGGGGAGGGCGCAGGCTCACTCGCGTTCCAAGCTCGCGTTCCAAGGCGGGGTCGCTCGACCAGGGCCACACCGCCGCGAGCGGGGAGAGCACGGGTTCACTCGCGTTCGCAGCTGCCCAACACAGGCCCCCCGGGTCGGCAGTGCCCGCCATCGCCCGCTTCCGTGCCATCCGATGACACTGCGGTGGCGTGCACGGCACGGCACCGCCGAGCTCTGCGAGTGGACGCCGCCACGTCTTCTTTCGCAAGAGGACAGTCACGCTCTTCGTCACGCTATTTTCAACTGACCCCATCGAGTAGCCACCTTCGGACGTCACATAGTCACACGCAGCTATCGTCGCACTGTCAACCACCGCTGTCAGGCTGACACAGTCCTGCCGTCACATTGTCACCCGTGCTCTCAAACAAGAGCAGCTACCATCGCAGGCACACAAGTTTGGTTTGGACTGGAGGCATCCCGTCAGCCGCACAAACGCCAGACTGGGACGACCAGCGTCACTCATACACGTGGCTCTCATACTGGAACAGCTACAAGCGACGTCACTAACCAGTTGGACACCAAGTCGCTAACGCGAGGCTGTCCTCCGTTGCGACGTCGTAACCGTGCACCGCCGCACGGTTGTCACAGCACAGCTCCGCCACAACGGCGTCAGTCTGGCCATCGGGGTCCCGGACGCCTCGCACCCTGCCGTCTCGCCTCGACACTCGTGACAACCTGTGAGACGAGCGCTACTTCGCGACGGGCCGGGGGCTCCCCGGAATGTCGGCCGGCGCATCAGACGCGGCTCAGTCGTCGACTCCGCTCGGTTCAGACCACAGCGCACGAGTGGCCGCAGCGGTCCGGTGGCAGCGCGTACGTCGATTGAAGGAGAACGCCTGCCGGCTTCGCTGACTGGAAAGACACGCCCCCGGCCGGAGCCGGGCCGCCGCCAGCACCGCCGCTCACTCGTCCTTCTCGCGCTGCTCGTCGCGCAGCTGCTGGTTGATGGCGAGCATGCGGCGCGTGAAGTGCTGCTGCTGCTTCTCCCGCCACTCCTTCTTCACCGACATCCGCTTCAGCTGCCCGTCCCTGTGGCGAGGGGGCGCTAGGAGTCACAGCTCCGGCGCGCGCAGGCCCGCCGCCCGCACTGGACACGTCGCTCGCCCAGCGGCGCCACACGGCCCGATTACAGCCACACGCAGGGGGCCCGTCTCAGGGCGCCGCCGGGCGCCCCACAGGGTGACGTCACACGAGCGTGTAACACGGAGCCAGCGCCGGCAGCGGTGCCCCGGCATTTCATCACACGAGCGTGTAACACGGAGCCAACCCCGGCACTTCATTACACGGACGTGTAACACGGAGTCAGCGCAGGCAGCGGTGCCCCAACCCTTCATCAGGGTCACACTGACACCTCGTGGCACAACCAGCGGCGGAAGTGGGGCGGACGTAGCGCTTTATGGTGAAGACCTCATGACCGTAGTTTTAAGAGGATACACAGATAGCACAGGGTCGTGGCCAGCGGACAGGACAGAGCCCCGCCGCATCTTGCGTCGTGAAGTCCGGTTTCGACCCTGCCCTCTCCCCCGGGCATTGACCTGTCACGGTTTCCACCCAGTGCCGCAGCGCAAACAACGAAGCTGTGTGGCAAACAGGACAGCAGTAGAAGGCATAGAAGACCGGCGGGAAGGCACTTACCACATGAGATCGACGAGTCCACCGGCGCTGGCGATGGACGCCTTGACGCGGTTGGCGAAGTCGATGGCCGTCTCGCTGGGCTGACGCGAGGTTGGCGGCAGGTACCAGACGTCGCACACGATCGCCCACGACGTCATCATCATGTACAGGTAGTGCAGCATGCTGTACTGGCTGCTGTCCCAGAAGGCATCGCCGAACCGGTGGTCGTACTGTGGAGACGGGAGCGACGTCACATGGCCGAACCGGGGGTCGCACTGTGGAGACGAGGACGTCACATGGCCGAACCGGTGGCCGTATTGTGGAGACGGGAGGGGCGTCAAATGGCCGAACCGGTGGTCGTACTGTAGAGACGAGAAGGGCGTCACATGGTCGAACCGGTGGTCGTACTGTGGAGACGGGAGCGGCGTCACATGGCCGAACCGGGGGTTGTACTATAGAGAGGAGAAGGGCGTCACATGGCCGAACCGGTGGCCGTATTGTGGAGACGGGAGCGGCGTCACATGGCCGAACCGGTGGTCGTACTGTGGAGACGGGAGGGGAGTCACATGGCCGAACCGGTGGCCGTGCTGTGGAGACGAGAAGGGCGTCACATGGCCGAACCGGTGGTCGTACTGTGGAGACGGGAGCGGCGTCACATGGCCCAACCGGTGGCCGTATTGTGGAGACGGGAGGGGCGTCACATGGCCGAACCGGTGGTCGTACTGTGGAGACGAGAAAGGCGTCACATGGCGCAACCGGTGGTCGTACTGTGGAGACGGGAGCGGCGTCACATGGCGCGCCGGCCGGCCGACACATGGCTGAGCGGCTACAGCGGCCTCAGTCAATACCACCCACCATACGCCCCGGGGCTTGCGCGGTGGGCCGGCGTGTCGACCGTCGAGACCCCCCCCCCCCCCGCATCCCCGTCTGATAGTCATCCGCTCAGGACCGGCAGATGCGTGAGCCACGTGTTTTGTGTTGCTGTTAACAACAAGCGAAGAACCGTGCGCTTGAATAACGACGGCCGTTAAATTATTCATACGAGCAGAAGTCAGGCTGATTTACGACTTGCAAGCGTTGGCATGGCGCAATATCTTATTGCCATGAACAAAGAAATGTCACCGAAGGACTCGACGGGGCGGATTTTTCCTGCTCTTATTTAGAGAGCGTTCCCGATGGCTACTGTCACCGCAGCGAATCGAATTACCGCAGACACTGCGCTGAGTTACTTATCTCGTAAATTTAAATTGGAGTGTGTCGTGAGTTAATTAGACCTCACGACAGCGAAGGTTTCAGAGCTTGGCTCTCACAGCCACTAGCGTTCATACATCATTTCCTAAGCGGCGCGGCGGTGATGTATCGGTGTCAATCTCTCTAGCCAAGTGCCGGAGGGCATTCCTCTATGTCTCCCGATTTGTCTCGCTGGCAGGCATGAACGCATGCCTGGCAGTCAGCGGCGGCGCGGCGCGCAGGCACGTGCCGCAGGTAGTGGCTTGAGCCGCTCCCGACCTCACAGGACATTTTACCTGAACTGGGGGGGGGGGGGGGGGAGGGGCAACTCGGTGCGGTTCAGCTGTGCTGCGTGCCTACAGTATGCACCGGATGTGGCTCCACGGACGCGGCGAGTATGCGATCAAACGCAATCAGGGGGTGAATCACACACCACGCAAAATTTACATGCGTGTTGATGTGACCTGTTTTATAACCACGTGTGTGCTGATGCGCGGGGATTTCTTTACTGAGCCGCTGGCGCTGGTGTGACGCCACGGGCGACGCTGAGCTGCTACAGTGCTGCAGCGCTTGACTCATACACCACACAAGCCCTTTCTCGTTTCGGGTTGCCAACAGCAATGCAGCGACATGCCCGTGTCTAGCAATAACTCGGCAGCTAGCACGTCTGGCCCTTCACGTGAATAGCCGCTGTAGCGTCTGTCTAAGTCACCTTACCTGCCTGCGTCCGCCAATACGAGCGTAACGCCACACAGGCTCCAGTCACCTCGTACGGCTCCCAGGTCAGAATCAGCGCGCGGACGCCAACCAACCCCGAGGTGACTCTTCACTCTCCAACCTTCGGCCGACCCCACTTCCTGGCCCACGTACCTCCAATGCCCAACTGATCGCCGCATGGAGAGGGTCTCAAAAGTACGGGCGATAACAACATGATCGCAGCAGCTCCCCAGCAGCGCCGACAAGAGACACGACACTGCAGCCATCAAGCTGCACGAGCCTTAGCAGTACTGGCACTGATGCTAGCACACTTGCCTCCTGAATCCTCTACCACCCCGCGTTCGACGCTCCCTCCAATGGGCCGTCCAAAGCCGGCCTGTTCTCACCCGTATGGCGACGGGGTAGATGGTGCCGCCCACTTCGAAGCTGCCCTTCTTAAACTGCATGACGGACGTGTTGTTGATGCAGGTACCCTCCGGGAAGATGAGGATGGGAAGCTTGTGCGGGTCGTCGACGTGCTCCTTGAGCCGGCGCGTCACCGCCGACCTGTCCTTGACCTCGCCGCGCTCGAACCAGATGTGTGACGAGGCCCGCGTCAGGGCGCGCTGCAGCAGCCCCAGGAAGCCGCTGTGCCGCTGCCCGATCTGCCCGGGCACACGCCACAGCGTGTCAACAGCGGCCCGGGCACACCGCCACAGCGCGTCAACAGCGGCCCGGGCACACGCCACAGCGCGTCAACAGCGGCCCGGGCACAGCCGCGCGCCGCCGCATCAACAGACGAACAGGTATAACCAGCAGAGGCCACCAGAAACTCCCCAGAAATTATCTTAACAGTGCTGTGTTCTAAAACAGAGGACAGTGGCAAAATGTGCGGCTTGAGATCACCCCAGGTCGTAAGAGGCTAGAGACAACTGCGCTATGAGACGGGTCATCGGAACGTCCGGTCATCACCAGGGTCAGCGATGGGCCGGCATCGGATGAGCACTCGCCATCCCCTGAGATACAAAAGTAAGGATGATTGAAAAACCATCAGTCACACGCATGCAACACCAACACTCCTTGCGGCGCGGAACACGGAGACGTTAACAGATGTGAGAGTCGTCAGTTGTTAGTAGATCATGCCGAAAACTGAGCTGATGGATCCAGGCACCTTCGCCAAATGATGTCAGCAATCCATGGCTGTATCAATGAGTTGGCAAATGCCTTTTGTGATTACTTAAGAGCAGGAGGGGGGGGGGGGGGGGCGATACAGGGACAGGTTACCAATGTGGCATTCAAGTTAATTTACAGCTAACATGACTGAGAATTGAAATGGTATGAGCTGCCCAAGCACCACGGCTGTAATGCGCCACATCAAGGACTATGCAATCAGTTGCGCTTTTGGAGCTTCGCTTCAGCTCACCCTCCCAGCAAACGGGAGCGTCTCGCCGCCAGATAACTCGGATCACGCCCATGCTGCCAGTCCCGGACGTCCACACAAACGCCAGGCAAAGCACACGCCGCTACCACGCCAAGCAAGCTGCCGCCAGCCCTGTGCAGCGCCGGTCCCAGGGAAGCCAAGCGTGGGCGCTGCGTGACCGCCGCGGCCGCCACATACCAGGCTGTAGGCCTGGTCACAGTTGAGCACGAGCACGTCGATCGGCGTGGTGTGGTTGGCCACGCAGATGCCGCGCATCGGCCGGTTCTCCGGGTTGTGGTACGTGATGACGGCCGACAGCGTGTTGGACATGAACTGGAAGCAGAAGACGCTGGTGCGCTGGGCGGCCCAGCGGCGCGCCGTGCTGTCCGGCAGGCAGCCCAGCAGCGACATGGCCAGCACCATCCAAGTCACCTGCGGCAGACCAGCGGCGACGCCACGCCCCGGGGTCACACGCGCGGGAAAAGCCCCTGGTGGCGGCGCCGTACACAGGACCCGCGGTACACGAGACAACGACAAACGTGCATGCTTTCCCTCACGCACATAGCCACACAGCCCTCGACGGTAGCCCAGCATCGCCAAACGAGGCAGCCACATATCCCAGGCGGGATGCCTGGGATGGGACCACCCTCGGCAACAACACTCCCACGTGGCATGCAGGACCGCGTCACCATCGGCGAAGGGCCGCTCAAGTCGGCAGCCCGCTGGACAGAGCCAATGACAACAACGATAACACCGTCACGCTTTTGCAGCGAACACTTGGCGGACCTGAGGGACGAACGCCCACGAGTCACCAGCGGACAGGCAAGCTGACCGAGCCGCCGCCGGCGTCCGAGCGGCACACCTGTCAAACGTGCCAGACACCGCCCCTGTCGACGGTCGGCTGGCGCTGCAGAACACCCGGCCATCGCCGCCGGCGCCGGCCCTTCCGCCCAGCCAGCGTATCACAGACGGGCATGTGCGACCCTCCGCGAACGAGCGTACAGCAGCGCAACATACCTCCGACTGCGAGCCGGCGCTACGGACACCCCGAAGTGCCGCGGTCTGTACCACCAAGGCCGCCAGACACGGTGGACAGCACACCCAGACCCTAATCTGACCGGCAAAATGGACGACTCTACTAACTGGTCCGTGGCGTGCGCGGCTGACGGTGAAGGTCCCGCACTGTCAGCCGCGCACGTCACGAAGGACGGACACAGCTCCTGTCAACGAACCAGACGATCGATGCGCAATACTGCCGCTGCGTAAAGCTGGCGAAATCCGACGAATAGCCGACTTCCGGAAAGGTCCAACCAACAGATTACTGCTGAACAGGGACAGATGCAGAGCCCACTGCACGACAGACAGACGAACATACTACTATAGGATAACGAAGGACGGAGAATGGACTGCAGGGCACGAATAGTCGACTAACCCGCTGCAGACAGGGACGGATGAAGAGCCTAAATACAGGGACAGTTGAATGACCCGCTACAGCACAGGGACGCAAGCCTGCTACGAGACAGGGACAGCTAAACAACCCGCTACAGCACAGGGACTGACGAGGAGCCTAAAGACAGGGACAGCAGATTAGCCCGCTGCGGGACAGGAACGGCCGAGGGGCCTATTGCGAGACGGAGACCACAACATGGACGCGGACGAGGCCCCATGGACAGAGCTCAGCAGCACGGAGCCCGCAGGGACAGACGAATACCCGGCCGCCGCCCACTGACCAGAGCGTAACTGACGTCACAGCTCAGGATACAGACGTCGATCGGCGAGGTGTGGTTGGCCACGCACACGCCCCGCGCGCGCGGCCGGTTCTCCAGCTGGTGGAAGCGCACGCAGCCCGAGTAGCTCCGCGTCAACATGCGGAACGCCATGAGCGAGACCTTGTCGTAGAGCCAGCGCTTCAGCCGGCACTCTGGCAGCACGCCAACGGCCGAGACGAAGAGGACAAACGAGGCCACCTTGGAAGACAGGGCGGCGCGGTGAGGAGCGCGCTGCGGCGACATTTCAGCGGCGTGCAGACTGCGACGCAGCACGCTGGTCATCGGCACGGGCAGCGAGCTGCAAGCCACTGGTCAAGGTCGGCTTTGTCCGGCGCCGCTCTCAGCACCCGCCAAACGGAGAAGACCGACAGAACGACGCGATCCAGGCACCAATCACCGACATGTTCCGAGTACAATATCATGATAGACAAGCATGCGTCGAACAAGACAGATAATGGAAGAGATATATGCATGGTGCGTACAAATATATCAAGAATTAGCATAATTTCGCGCCCTGCAAGGCGAAACACGACAAGGCAAATGTTACAAAACAACGCAGAAGTCCACTTACAGCAATAAATGGGCAAAATAAACATCAAAACATAAAACTCGCTTGAACCTTCAAAAATCTGCGAAAAGGCAAACATTCCACAATTAGGCGCTTGCAATTACAACAAAACACAACGAATACATACAACACACGAAAGAGAACATCTTAGCTTAAAGACATCCATCCCACTGCCGTCCCCGCACGCAAAAAGGCTATCAATCCTAAAATGGGATCGTTCCACATAGGTGACCAGGCGGTGCTTACCGAAGTGAAGAAGATGGTGATTCGGACGGGCAGGAGGAAGCAGTACCGGAAAAAGAAGCCCACGAACCATAGCAGCGTCAGGCGCCAGCTGATGAACTCGTACTTCTGCTGAGTTCGCGTCAGCAAGTTCCAGGACTGGGAAAGAGAGACCGCGTAAGCAACTCCGTGACACTTCTGCCGCAGTCACCATCCATAAGAAACGAAAAACGACAATCAAGCCGGGGGACAGGTAAAAATACAATAAAACATGACCATGAACCTACAACACCAGGTTTTTTTGCCCGGCTTTTTAAAGATTTATCCATCCAACATTTAAAAACATATCCATCCACCAGTTTATCCAACATTTTGAGTGTATGGATTTCTGGAACCAGACTTCAAGCTAAGCAGCACTTGTTACGGGAGCCCTGACCCGCTCCAACCGAACGCGCAATTCCAATCAACGGCACAAGTTGGTGGCGAAAGTTCCGCGTACCGCAACGCTCGGCACGGCCCGGCTTGCCCTCTGACGTCACCTCGCCTTCAGCGCATCCGCTGCGACGGGCCACAGGACATACCTGCCAACCATAAATAGCAAGCGCCTAAAGCCAGTGGAGCTATCCGACCCTCTTACTATTCCCTGTCTCGCTTCAACCAGCATCCTCGCGACACCCCGCCTGTTCGAGGCAGGCTGCATTCATCAGTTACAAGTGCGTCGAGAGGCCACCTAGAGGGGGACCTCGACCGGGCACTCAACGCACACCACGCTGAAGGGTTCCTGCACGGGCCGAGGCTCAGTGGCTGACCCCTCCTCCCCGACCCCCGGCGCATTCAGTTCTGCCCCATCGGTATTCATTCTCCGTCATCCCACAGCCATGACATTATCATTGCCGGTCGAAAGGGCTCCAATCTAAACAGACAATCCAAAGCTACTATAGCCCACACGGCCACGGGCGGGTGGATTGGAAGGCAGGCGCTCTAACCACCTCAGCTATCCGCACACAGCTGAGGCACATTCTTTCACAACACCGTGCGCAAAATCACGCTTGCAAAAACCACTGGCTTTGTGTTTCTGCTAGATGGTAATGCGACAGATAGAATGAGAATGTTGCAGATCAACGAACGATGTGATAAAATGGTGAATTCTTAAAAGCCTGCAATGGAACCTTAAATTACGTAAGTGGTTACCAGGGAATACAAGTTCTCCCTATATCCACATAAGTCTCTCACAGAACCAAATAAAAAAATACCCGATTACGACGCAACACCAATCAAACACTCATTTCCGAACCAGATCAATGGGCGTCATACGGCCTGGGCAGTCGGCTCGTTCTCAAGCCCCAATTTGCCATCTGAGCCCAATCATGGTATACGCGCGTGAAAGCCAAGAACGTAAATATTCCCCGATCTCTCACAGGAACAAAGGTGAGTGCAATGGACCGACGGTGTGCATCTGTAGTATATCTTCCAGACCTCGAAAAACAAAATCGCCGACGGAAGGCACAGCCTAACATTCCCCAGTCCTCAGCGTACCACTGCACTGTACAGAAGGTACGCCCATGGAGCGCCCAGCCGGCAGCCAGCATTTAATCTGCTCGTGTGTGGCCGGGAGCGATCACGCGAGCCCGTCCTGAGCGGCCGCCGGGTGGTGGGTCAGCGTCCTGGCCGACACTGCGCAGGCCGGCCGCCGTCCGGACTCCGGACCGGCCATCGGGACCACGCGGCCACCTGCCACCCACCGCCGGCCGCACACAAACGTCAGCCAGGCGGCGGTGTGTCGGATGGAAGAGATGTCACAAAACCTTCCGCCACTCCTGAGCAAGCGTTTCTGAACATACCCTCGAACTCAAGAGACACCGACAAGCCTGGCATACATGTTTTCGGCGTCCTCCCTCGTGCACGTCCGGAGCCGCCACCGGCCGGGGGGCGGACGTCACACCCTGCCCTGCCCCAGTAACAGGACGACGGGACCTGACCGGCGGCCGGCACGGAGACCGACGTGTACCGTGACCGTCACCGACGGAGACGGTGCGAGATGTCACCCGAATAAACAGGCGCGCCGCCGCCGCCGTGTCGCCCCGGCAACGGTTCGGCCGCCGGTCTGCACGTGCCGCGCACGCGGCCGGCCCGGTCCGGGCGCCGCCGCGCCCCGCCCACCGGCACGGCCGGGTCCGATGCCGAGCCGCCTCCACCAGTGGCGTGCTCATGTGGCAGCGCGCCGAGGCCGTGTGGTCAGAGGCGCTCAGACCAACGTCCACCGCACGAGTGCGACAAGTTCCCAGGCTTAAATAAACAGAGCTATTTTTCCAAAATCGATGCCAGTTACAGATTCCCATGCGCCGGGTGGAGGGCAAACGCACAGGCCCGTGTATGATCACCGGAGCCGCCATAACAGGGTTAGCCTCAGTCAGAATCGTTTCTTTATAATCACTTGGTTCCCAACCTCGCACTTAACGAGAGTGAGCCCCACTAAAAACAGTCTCTCACGACGCCACTGCAGTGTAAAGGGTGGGCGACTGATGATGGCATGCTCACCAAATTGAGTATAATCACACAGCATGCGAGGCTCGACAATCCCTCCCGCATGACGACAACCAGATCATCATCGAAAGTCACGTCGACGGGCAGCCCATACCAGCACCGTACCAGCCAGTTGGCTGGTGGGCCCACGCGCGCGCGTGCGGCCGCCGTGTCGTGCTCAGCTACGGGCGCTGACCAGCCGTGGCCGTGACCGGCGCCGGCGGCACGGCCGGCCCGCCGGCGTCTGGCGGCCGCGTCCAGTGACGGGACCGCCCGACCGGTCACCAGTCAGCACCCCTCGGCCGGGTGCCGGCGCTCCGGAGTCCGCGTCCAGGGGGCGTGCCGCCCGCCACGCCAGCGCGCAGCTGCCGGGCCCAGCGGCAGCCGGCCGACCACGACAGCACACACCGGGGGACCCTCCGGCGGCCGGGAACTGGCAACGCGGCGGTGTGAGCAACCAGATTCCAACTACTACTTATTTGCAATTACATTGAACACCAGTCATAAAGGTGCTCACTCTTTTCCCTTTCGTCATAATCCGTGTCATCAAACAAACATCATTACCGACTTGAATTAAAGAAGTCGGACCCCAACTTACGCATTATGTTAGGCCCTGGTCTACGTTGCACAACAGCACACGCCACCAATGTTTTCAACGCACACAGAATGATCCCACGTTTCCGGCTCAGTTAGCAGACCGCCTTCAATGCCGGGCCATTTCCCAAGCTGGCACGCTGCTGCGCAAAACAGACAGAGATGCCGGCGGGCCGACAATCGCCGCGCTCGCAAGTCTACCTCACGGCGTGGCCACGGCAGCGGGGCCGATCCTCCGATCTCAGCGCCCTTGGCAGGCGAGATACCTCATCACTCGCCTAGCGCCGCTGCGTGGACCGTGACGCTCGTCAGCGGAAGGGGACGGAGCAACGCTATCTGTCAACCTGTACCAGCAACTGCCAGTAACGGCCAGCCTTGTTCATCGTTCGTCACAACCGGCTACTTCAATATAAAAAGATCTGTTTCCACCCTTTTGGTCAAAATGCATAGGCCTTGCCAGGCCTATACTTGCCGCGTACTCAGGTACCGTCACGTTGTTCCAAGGGCTAATTCCCCCACGGTCGTTTCCCAGGCAAATTCGGGGAGGATTTTTCGTGTCCTGCCGCGCCACGTCATGGCAATGCCGTGCCAGGTCGGTCCCCTCTTTCCTGCTGACCAGTTGCTAGCTGACGTCATCGGCCGGGTCCATCAGACTGGTTTCTCTGGAATTCGAAGCGACAGCCTCAATATACCAGTCCTCCCATCCTCGGTCACCGAGATCGAGATAATCGGTCGTCGAAATGGAGATCATCAGTCACCATATCGAAATCATCGGTCATCAGGCATCGAGATGACCAGTCATCTCCATCTGTCCCCCCCCCCCCTTCGCCCCCTATCGTCGTCAGCAAGACAGCGGCAGGGGTGTGAGGCTCAAAGTAGTCGAATTCAGAGAGCACCTATACGCACTATCTAACTAAACTAACTAATAAGTTGAACAGAGCGCCGCACTGTGAATTGTTTCCAATCGCACTACTGTCCTTCACAACGTATAGACGGCCTCGAAACAGAGAACGCGACTGGACTCCCGCCTCACAGCCGTCTGACGACCTTCGCCCTGCTGACAGACCGCATTCGTCCCGACAGACGCGTCGGAGCTGGCCTGAGGGCGGCGATCGCGGCAGCCCTGCCGCTGACGGTGACGCGGGGCCCAGCCGGGCACCCGACCGCCTCCTATCACGTCTAATCGGCCGTGGACTGTCGGCGCCCCGGTCCAACCGGCCAGGGGCAGCGGAGCCGGGCGGGGCGGGGCGGGGCGGGGCGGGGCGGGGCAGGGAGCCGAGCCGGGCGCCACCGCCTGACCTCCCAGCCGGGCCCGGGCCGGGCATGTGGCGTTTGAGCCGCGCGGGGAGGGGGGGGGGGGGGCAGGAGCCGGGCCACGCGGAAGACGGTCGCACCGGCTGCCGCGGCACCAGACCCCGGCGGCCACGGCCTGCTCGGCACACACGACACGACACGCGAGGCCGAGCCGGCACGCCTGCGCCCCACACGCCGGGGCGGCCGGGCACGTGGACAATGTCAGAGATGCCGGCCAACGGACGGACAGATCGGAGACAGGTCGAAACACCGCCCAACGACCAACGTTCCGTGAGAGCCCGGGCAACCGGGGGAAGCGGCCACGCTTCAGACAGCCCACGACGTCAAAATCATGCACTACCGGTTGAAGGCAGTACTAATTTCATTGCTAAGCACTTAAGCTCCCAAGAAATACAATCTCCATTTCTTCTACAAATGTGTTTCATGAACAAACTGGTTTAGCACTCACTATTAACACCCATATTACTACCAGCGCGTTTTGTCTTGATTCGCGGCCGACCACATAATAGAAACGTAAAGAACGCCGCTTCAGCACGAATTAAACTGTACTCTTCAGAGCTCGAGCTCGGTCACACTACCCTTGAGCACCCCAGCACGCGCCAGGCGTCACCACCTTGAGTTCCCCAACACCCGCCCCCTCCTTCAGCTCCCCAACACGCGCTCCCTCCTTCAGCTTCCCAGCACGCACCATCGCCCTGAGCTTCCAGCACGCGCCACCGCCTTGAGCTCCCAGTACACGTCAGGCGTCACCACCTTGAGCTCCCCAACACGCGCCTCCTTCAGCTCCCCAGCACGCGCCGCCGCCTTGAGCTCCCAGTACACGTCAGGCGTCACCACCTTGAGCTCCCCAACACGCGCCTCCTTCAGCTCCCCAGCACGCGCCGCCGCCTTGAGCTCCCAGTACACGTCAGGCGTCACCACCTTGAGCTCCCCAACACGCGCCTCCTTCAGCTCCCCAGCACGCGCCACCGCCTTGAGCTCCCAGTACACGTCAGGCGTCACCACCTTGAGCTCCCCAACACGCGCCTCCTTCAGCTCCCCAGCACGCGCCGCCGCCTTGAGCTCCCAGTACACGCCAGGCGTCACCACCTTGAGCTCCCCAACACGCGCCTCCTTCAGCTCCCCAGCACGCGCCGCCGCCTTGAGCTCCCAGTACACGTCAGGCGTCACCACCTTGAGCTCCCCAACACGCGCCTCCTTCAGCTCCCCAGCACGCGCCACCGCCTTGAGCTCCCAGTACACGTCAGGCGTCACCACCTTGAGCTCCCCAACACGCGCCTCCTTCAGCTCCCCAGCACGCGCCGCCGCCTTGAGCTCCCAGTACACGTCAGGCGTCACCACCTTGAGCTCCCCAACACGCGCCTCCTTCAGCTCCCCAGCACGCGCCGCCGCCTTGAGCTCCCAGTACACGTCAGGCGTCACCGCCTTGAGCCCTCTAGAACGAGTCACATGTCGACTCCCCATGAGCTCCCAAGAATGCGTCCTATCACGAACATCTGCTTTCGGTGCCATGCGTAAAAGCCGATGCGTGTTCGAGTTGTGCAATGGATTCCGTAACTGGGCTCTGGCGTCAGCCCAGTTCCGCCCCGCTCAATCCGCTGCGATGAGCCACGGTCACTTCACATGACGGTTATGTCACATCACTGATCAGCCTCCGAACGTCCAGCTCTTCGAGTACAGCTACAATGCGACGCGCAAAGACTGATAACGCTCCTCATAGCGACACTCGAGCTAATTTCACACCGCTAGTTGGAGGACGTCGGCTGGCGGGTGTCGTGTCTGTGTGTCGTCGCGCAGCACTCGAGCGAACGCGCTATACCATCAAGCATCCAGTTTATCGCTGACCTTCAGGCAGTCTCCACGCGCCCTGGCCACATCTCTGGCGGACCCTTATCTCCAATCATTCGCCGTTTCCCGAGTCGCTGAGTTCAGTCCATGTGCTTTGGCGGCAGGCCCAAGACACATAGTTGTTATGATTCTCCTAGCAACACTCGAGGGCTCGCTCTGCCAGCGGTAAAAAGACCGTGGTGTGGATCCCGAGTCACCTTGAAAGCGCCGGCAATGGGCCGGCACATAACACTGGTCACGTAGGAGAGCCCCCGACGCCGAATTAGTATGCTAGCGCTCCCCGAGATGAGATGGGATTCCTGCTAGGAACCTGGCTTCTGTGGCAAACCAGCACATCCACGGGATGTGGCAGCGAAACTAAACTCGGAGAGTTCAGATAATAAACTAAATGTTTTCAAGCCTGATCTCGATTTATGGGATTATCCCCCCTCCCTCCCCCCCCCCCAGCAGGAAATAACATTCCCGAAGTAAGCAGCCCATAAGTCGGAAGCATCTCTTCCCCCAGTGCAGGGCATCCTTATAGTATGCCCCGTACCTGACGGCTTGCCCCGACTTCACGGCTTCTACTTGACGAGCCCGACAGAGGCACCGCTTTGTAGTAGATCCGATAGCCCATCAACTGTTAACCCGTCATGGTAGCCTGAAGCTTACTTGGTGAGCTGAGAGCATGTGTTAATTGGGCTAATGGGACGTGTTCCTTTGGGTGGTTTGGAACCTTGATGCCACCAAATCGGTTACTGCTGGACGTCGACATGGGCGGTGCCGTCGGATTTTCCTCCTACTGCGCATGGGGTAATATGTTCTCTGCATAACTTGTTTCTGCTTTCCTATTAGAATGCAACGGCGCAGTAACCTTATCCGTGGAAGTGGCACCTTTACAGATTTGGACACGGAATGGCCTTTGAAGACAGGGGTCCCGAAAACCATCCACCATTATATCATCCCCAGCACGTGTCACCCGTCACCTCATCCTGAACCCCTCAACACGTGTCACCTATCACCTCATCCTGAACTTCGCAGCACGTGTCCCCCGTCACCTCCCCCTGAACTCAACGCGTGTCACCCGACGCCTCCCCCTTAACTCCTCAACACGTGTCACCAGTCATTTCACCGTTAACTCCTCAACGCGTGTGACCCGACGCCTCGTCCTTAACTCCTCAACACGTGTCACCCGTCATTTCACCCTTAGCTCCTCAACACGCGTCACCCGTCACCTCTAACACTGAACTTCTCAACACGTGTCACCTGTCACCCACCCTGAACTCCTTAACACGTGTCACAAGTCACTTCATCCTAAACTCCTCACCGCGCGCCACCTGCCACTTAACTCTGAACTCCTCAGAACTAATCAGACGTCAACCGACCTTGAGTTCTTCGGCGCAGAAGCGTTTCGTGACCTCGTCGTCCACTATCGCCTGCAAGGCCGACTTGACGTAGTCGAGACAGGAGTCGAGGCGGTAGCTGACAGAGTCGTCCGGAGGGCCCTCAACCGTGCTCATCCGTATTATGCGACGGCCGTTCTGACAAGGTCACAGTACACGCGTGAGCTTATGGAAACTTGTAACACAAATCAGCTGAGTTAGATGAAAAGCATCATGTCCCCACCAGTTCATTTAACATACACCAGCTGATGGCACGAGTTAGTGTGTGTGTGTGGAGGGAGGGAGGGCAAGATGTCATGGACTGGTCAGTATAAACTGAAGATACGGGTGCGTGTGTGCGCGGGCAGTACGCCACAGAATGGTCCGCATCAACTGATGACTCGAGTGAGTGGGGAGGGGGGGGGGGGGCAGGGTGTCATGGAATGGTCAGCATCAATCGATGACAGAAGTCAGTGGGGGAGGGGGGAGGGGCACAGTATCATGGAGTGGTCAGCAATCAGTTGATGACACAAGCCAGTGTGTGTGGCGGGGGTGGGGGAGGGGGCACGGTGTCATGAAATGGTCAGCATCAAATGGCATCCACTCATCTCGCCTAAACGAAACCTAAATAAGCCTGCAGCGTTTGCTTATTTCCGTCCAACTTTATGATTCGAACACTGTGACGTGCTCACCACAACTTTCGCCGACTCTTTATCAGCGTGCATGAACGTAGCCACAACGGAAACAGACCAACCAAGGTCGTGCAGCCACTGGTGCTGGCCGCCCGGGTGAGAGGAGGGAGGAGGGGGGGGGGGGGGGGGTCGCTTCCCTGGTCTCACCTGGTGCGTCTTCTTCTCCTGGTCGGGGTCGGGCACCAACAGGAGCTTGTCGTCAGAGAACTCGTCGTCCGCCTCCACTCCGTCGCCGGACATCTGGTTCTTGCGATTCCGCTTCTGCTCCAGCCGCACCCGACCGAACTGTGCCAGCCGTGCCAGTCAGACAGCGGCGCGCAGCGGGACAACTTATGGCAGCCCACACCACAGAGCACTACACAGGGAAGCGAATGTACCAGCCCGCGCCAGGGAGCGGTACACAGGGGAGCGATTGTAGCAGCCCACGCCAGAGAGCGGTAAACAGGGGAGCGAATGTACCAGCCCGCGCCAGAGAGCGGTACACAGGGGAGCAAATGCACCAGCCCGCGCCAGAGAGCGGTACACAGAGGAGCGATTGTAGCAGCCCGCGCCAGAGAGCGGTAGACAGAGGAGCGAATGTACCAGCCCGCGCCAGAAAGCGGTACACAGGGGAGCGATTGTAGCAGCCCACAAAAGAGAGCGGTGCGCAGGACCTGTACCAGCCCACAAAACAGAGCGGTACGCAGGGACTGTACCAGCCCACACAAGAGAGCGGTACGTACGGATGAACTGCGCCAGTACGCTGTACGCATTGGAGCAACTAAGCTAGCCCGCGCCACTCAAACAGTGGTGCACACGGCAGGAACTGTACTAACCAGCGCCAGTCAGGCACAAGTCTGCCAGAACGCCAGCTTCTAGCCGCACACCATATGCATTCGCTGCGGCCGCCGTTGAGAGACTGCGGAAGTTGTGATCGTGCTAGCCAAATGCGCTCCGAAACATCAGCGTGAATCCACTGCCGTGCCCGAACCAGCCCGCCGTCCACCCACCTCGAATATCTTGATGAGTAGCTGCACGTACTTCTTACGGACGCCCAGCGAGAGGCCGAACGGCGCGAGGATCATCAGCGTCGTATACAGCACCAGCAGCGGAGGCACCAGGAACAGCAACACGCCGTTCAGTACCATCGCGATCAGCGGCGTCATGATGGCGGCAGGCGACGGGACGCTGCAGACGGATGGGCACACAAATCACATATCAACAGGAGACTTCTCTTTGTGTCAGGGTCAGGTCTGAGTAGACCGGCAGCAGCAGTGAAATGAGCCTTGGTCACAAGCCCCGCAACCCTGTCTGGAGGGGGCACAAAGCCAGGAGTGCATCGCACAAGTTGGTGCGTCTATAGGGCACTGTGCCACATTCGTTGAAGCTGTTTTGCATGTGCCAGTGTGATCCAGGCTAGTATTGGCATTAGTGTGAATTTTGTAACGCTGGCGTTAAAACCATCTACAATTTAACCAAACCTCGATTCAGACATGGCAATGTCAAGCTAGAACAATGTTGAATTTATTTGGAACCGCCTAGGCCATTCTGTCAACCACAACTGACACAAGACAAACTGACACTGACACAGATAACCTCTTACAGTCTCATGAACTAACGATTAGATTGAAAATTAAAATGACAATGTTTTGCCCAATCTGGACCAAATAAAACTTACTAAGGAAACACTCTGTTTAACTGTTGGCCTATCACCTGATATATGACGCTACCGTCACATCGACCACCATTCAAACCTTAAAATTTGTACAGACGTGTACAGTTTGTAAATGTGTGTTGTTTGGTTTCTCTCATGACAAGGGCAAATCGATTATTTGCCTGCTTCTCTAGCTCAATTAGGGGCCAAACGACGTCAATTTTTCGGAAAGTTTCGTTTAAGAAAGCGTAACCAGGCGAGGGGAGGGGACCGCCCGACAGAACTAGCGCGTTACCCCGGCGGAAAGTGTGGTTGAGGACTGACCGAAATGCGTACTGTAATTTGTGAACGCTCCATTGCCACACCGGACGGCGTAAGCCAACCTACGAGTCATGCACTGATGGAGGTTTCAGCATGTGCATCACTAAACTCGTGATATGTGAACGGTGTGTAACCGCTGTGTAAAGAAGCTTGCAATGAGCTGAATATATACGCCAAAAATGTTCCTGGAAGCCAAAGTGAAATTAGAAAGACGGTTACTGTGCTAACCGCCACAGGAGAGAAATCAAAGCCATAGTATCATGTTCCGTTATATCCGCATGATAATCTCAACATGTCCGTATGTCACTGCCTTTAACAGAAGGCGTCAAGCTGTCGTACCATTTATCGCACACACCTTTTGGCCAATTGGTTATTTTGAACGTTACACAGCCCACATGCATGGCGAAGTAACGCAAATCAAACTAATTACTTCTACAAAGGCAAGCAGAGAGTCCAATGCCATTTCTTCCGACGGAATGGCAATTTCAACTTAAAGCTTTCGGTTAAGTTATTCCAAATAATTTCACAATAGGTTGTATCACCAACGCAGTCGCACAAGCCTAATCTATGTGACAAGCGTATAAAGCAGTGGTCTATCCAGAGCCTCCAGGTGTTTTTCTGGTTTCTCCGAAAGAGTTTGGAGCAAGTCATCTATATTATCTAACTTTACTAAATATCTTGTGTACGTATGGTGGAAAATTTCATGGACATGGCACCCGCAGGGGCGGTTTTAGCGTTTGGCATTGGGAGGGACCTCCAATAACAATTGAGCGATAATGCAACATGGTGATCCCCACGGACTGCTCCCGACCAAAGAAATAGTTCTACCATGACTGCTGTTAATGCAAGAAAGCAGAAACAGCGTAGCAGAGGCGGTTCCAGCGCCCGAAAAAGAGAAAATTTCCAAACAGTGTGGGTTTCAAAGCTGTTTTGTAACGGATATTTTCGGTATTTAGGTGTAAAGCTCTGCATTCGCTGCCGACATTGCCGCAAACAGTTGTTAATGGAGGCAATTGTTGATGGTTATGTATACATATATATACATACATATATATATATATATATATATATATGTATATATATATATATATATATATATATACATATATGTGTCGATATGTTAATTGTTACATGTGAACCCAAAATTAAAGGAAAGCTTTCGTAACAGATGTACGTAATTGCATGACCACAATGGCCGCAGCCCGGTGAATGGACCGCTAGCTTATAGCCTTTCATGAGCTGTACGGATATGCGGGTCAGCACTGCGGGAGAACCGCATACAGCAGTGCACACTAGAAATGAGTCCACACCCCACAACCCTGTCGACATCGCCCGCAAAACGCTCACATCTGGCGCCACTCTGCATCGAAAGCAAGCTTGTCTTATCAAGCGCGCGTTCCCTATCACCGCGGCCAGCCCAGAGCACGGCTGCACGTGAGGGCTACATGATAGTGAGGTCATGAGTGACGACCTCCGTACTCCAACGGACGATAGTCACGGCTTACCAAGAAGCAATGTGCTTCGCTTAACGCGTCCCGTGTTGCTTTCGCAGCAACCAACCTCCTGATACCACTGCACAGTACACAAGACATAGTTTCAGCCCATTTGAAGGGCACCTTTGAGCAGATTGGTCCAGCCAGAATGCTCTTTTACCTGTTGCTTTCCAGACAGTAATTATTTGCTGTTTCATAAGTTTCATATTGATACATATGGTGGTGGGCTGGGAGGTGGCTCCTAACACCCCCAGAGCAAAGCCCTGGGCCTGCCACATCAGCCAATTTGATCGTCATATCAGCCATGCCAGTCATACCAGTACCACACCATAAGTGATGTGAAAACCTGCCCCTGCACAAACAAATTGTAAACTATGTGCACAGGGTTGTTAATTTCAGGTCAAATACTGTTATCAAAGTTTCAGCTACCTCATTCTCATTCCATGTTGTGTGATGATGAACCTGCCATTGTTGTAATGACATGCATTTATGTTTTACTTATTCATTAATTCCAAAAGCAGTTGGCTTGGGCTTTTGGGCAACTTCCTCAATATTTTGATTAGCAGTTAAGTGCTGGTATTTGCATCAAAATTAAAAGCAAAATAGCAAATTTTCACAAAAACAGACCTGTAAAAATAGCAGTGTCACCATCAACAGCACAAGAATGAATTCTACACAGATAGTCACATGATGCTAATGCTGTTATGTTGAGGGATGCTTTTTGTCTGGTTTGATACCTTGGGTGCTGATAGTTGGTACATACACCTGTCACCACTGCACATCTGGAAAACCAGAGGTGCAGGGTTCCATTCCCCACAGTATCTGCCATTTCTGTCAGGGTGAGAGGCAGGCGATGTCATACCGCCTCAGCAGCTGAATGTGTTGCAGCAGCCCAATGATGATGATGAGAGTTTGATACCTTGAACCTGCAACATGCAACCAATACCTAATGCATATTCTGACCACACCAATATCAGTTTTAGTGTTATTACATATACAATGAGCCTTATCAATCAGTTTTGAATATTTTTTCTCCACTGACAGTACAGGGGGCAGCACATGGAAGACTGATGTTGTCCAAAAAGCATTCAGTTGACAGTGGATGCTAGGGTTGCTGTGATCAGAAATCTGTTCAGGATGTGGTCAGATAAAAGGTGCAAAGGCTCATAGAATGGTAGCATTCTATCCAGAGATGTGCACACATATGTGCACACTTAAACTGTAGCATATGCTTTGCAATATGCTGACTGGATGACAAGTCATACAATTTGGGAACTTCTGCCCTCAACCAATTTAATAATTGCAACAAATTCCAACATTCTGAAAGCAATTTTTGAGGTGGATTATACTGAGATTGCCCTGAAGCCACTGGTTAATTGAAGAGTTCTTGGAGATCTTTGCTTCTACATGCAGTAACTCAAAGTTTCTCTTTGAGTTTTTGGCTGTCCAGAAGTAAGTCATCAGCCATTGTACCCCCCCCCCCCCTCAGTTAGCATCTTTCACAATATATTGGGACTACACTAGGTCACCATCAGATTCCATGTGAGGTCAACTTATAAGTGACAAAATAAAATGGTTTGTTACACTAGTTGTGAAACAGATGTACAATCAACATGCTTCCAGACCAATAACTTCCGCATCTCATTTAACCTGGAATAGCTTGACAATGTCAACTGGTACTACATGACCTCATCCCTTGCTCACACAGGGCCCAAAAATATCAAATGGAGCAATTTGACCTTATTGCTTATTGATATCATTGTGTAGTTTAGGAGTGTAAGAACACTCCCAAGTGTTTTGTGAGATTCAAACGTGCATAACCGTTAGTGTGTGCACTAGTATGGTCTTTTGTTCTGTGATAATGACATTTTGTTTATTTTCAAGGAATTTTATGTGACATGTTAGGTGGTCTTTCACATGGCATATCTCAAGTTGACTGCTAGGAAAGATTATCCAGATACACTGACTGCTGTTAAAAGGATTATTATTTAATCATTTGGTCCTGAAACAACTGGGAGAATTGCCTATGTCACAGGAGTCTCAAAATGTCCAATACCATAGTCAGCACTGATTACTGGCTACTCCAAATAAGGGATGCTTGCCCTGACCTTGCCCTGAAAACATCCATCCAACACTGATGTGGTTTGCAGATTGGCTGACCAACTGCAATTTTAACTAACAACTAGTACTTGACCAGAAATTTAAGTAACCCACCAGTGACCAACAATTTATGACCAGTTATTTTCAATCAGGAAATATGTATACATGCCACCACCTGAAGGCACAACCAAAAAGGATATAGGCAATAAACATCATCTGAGTCTAGGAATAACTTCAGTGAATAAGATTACATCTGACTCAGTATCATCTCACATAAAACATAAGTTGTGATCCTTTATGAGAAGCATGTGTGCATTTAAAGCAGAAAAGATATACAGGAATTCACAACAGAAAATAGAACACAAAAAGTAACTAAAATTACTTTTTAGCATGCTACAGGCAGACATGACCTTGGGTGCTTCACAACAGTGTCCAGACTAATCAATACAGCCAATGCAGGTACATTTTAGTCGATGCAGAGAGATGTTTAAAAAACATGCTGCACAAGTATTTGGAGGCAAACATGATCAAAACATATGTCATGCAAAAATTGCTTGAGCACTTGGTTTTATGTATGGTCATCACCAATGTCAGCACAGAGGGGGCCAGCTTTTCAAGACATTATTGTGCTGCAAAGGCAATTTCAGAAAAGGAAGTTATTATCATACCTTCAACACAAGATAAGTCACAAATTCAGCTAAATTTGATCTGGACTGAGCTTGATGCTGATAAGTGTGAGGTTCATAACACAGATGTCACATAGGTGTCTGGTGCAGGAGAGGGATTTTTGCAGACTGACAAGCCCCCTCCCCCTCCCCCAGTACTTCCCTTAAATATATCCCTGTGCATTAGTGAAAACTTCAATTTCATTCCATGCTTGGAAAAATGATCAATGCTTACTGATGCACACAGTGATCATCCACTTTGAATACATGATCAGAAGGAAAACGTTGATGGAACAAGGAAATCGAAAAATGAACAATAAAGTAGCACGCACGTACCTCACACGAAACCAGTTATCCGAAGACAATGCAGGCAGGCAGGCCTGACAGGCCCCCAAACTCCCCGCGGGAAGGCAGCTGAGAGTTTCTACCAGTCTCCGGCACAACGCACA